TTTGCCACAGAAGTCATATTCATATTTGGGACTACTTGACAGGGTTGTGCGGCCATCTACCTATCAAATAGTAATTTAATGCGCTATCCTGGCGTCAACCTGGCTCGGTCGAACACATGCACCTGTGGACCTTAACCAAGGTTCCCTTAAAGTTGCATTCGTCAGTGGAATTGGCCTTCCCATTGAGGATAGGATTTGGGTCTAACGATCATGATGCGACAACCACTATGCTACAAGTGACCGTTTTTTTTAATTCTATACATCTCATGTGATTTATTATAAACTCTATATTTTAGTAAAATTTTCGGAACATTTTCAGTGGTGTATTTCCTTGTGCAGCAAATAGAAGTTATAAATGAAAACCAAGGGTATTTGGTAGTGGTTATACTACTATTGAAATGGATGCTGAAGCACCAGGGCTTTTTTAAAACACCTATGAGTTGTATAACCTGATTTGCAGTATACTAGTATATTAAAAGCCCAGGTATACTATAAATACGGTCCTAAACAATAGGGATTATTTCCTTGCTTGTCATGCTGTAGTAAACAGCTTCAGTCAAGCTCCAGTAAAGACGTTTTTTCTCAAACTTACAGGTCGATTATGTCATGCCAAAGTGGATGCATGCGACTATGAATATCACAGCAGTGACTGTGTGTAGTATTTATGACAATAAATAGTGTACGAGCTGAGATTTTGGCGGATAAAAGTCAAAAACTCAAACCGGGGAAAGGGACACGCTACTAATCTTGAATAATTAACTACTGTCAATCAAAGTCATGTGATGTTGGACCGCTGAAACAGGATGTGTCATAGGCTGTGCAAGTGATTAACAACACTCATTAGCATAGCCACACCTCCAATTCACACTTGCCCGGGGCAAGTGAATTGGGCCTTTAAGATTTCCACATGGATTCAGCACAATACGACATGACTGAGACGACCTAACCCTTTGAGCACTGAAATTTTATCAACAAAATTAAGTGCACCATTTCGCCTATTTTTATGTACAATTCTAAAACTGTTTTGATAATTTTGAACCAAATAGACATAGTATCATAATTAAAATTTCGAAAAAAATTACTGTAGAATACTTTATTTTCGCTTGGAATTTATTTTCGCTATTTTCACTGAAGGGATGATTCCGTGAAAATAAAATCCAGCGAATATACTTTTTTTCCTATATTTCACATTAAACTCATGAAAAATCAGTGAAAATAAATTCCAAGCAAAACGCCCAAAAAGCCTTTTCAGCGAAAATTAATTCCAGCGAAAATAAAAAAATAAAAGTATTCCACAGTACATGGGTTTAAAATGTTTGAATGGTGAAAAAAGTTGACTTCAGCACTCCAAACTGACCTTGTAGAATAATTCCATTAGGGAACTTCACTCTAATTAAAGTAAAATTGTATTTTCTAATTTCTCTTTGCTCTTCTTTTTCTCTCATGGCTTTTGTTCTCAACACAGCATTCCTTTCTACCATGTCAGTCCTGCAGTACAAAAAAAAAGCATTTATCTATTGAGTTTAAAATATCACACTAAAAAAAAGGAAAATCCTCAAGACAGAGTTATAACCAGAAAATAGAAAGTGCATGACAAAAAACTTTATCAAAATGAAAGATAGTAGTCCGTGGTCTGTAACCACAAACTTACAATTGACTTTTTGTTGATTATTTACGATTTTTTTGTAATTTGACTGGTAATATTCAATCAAACTTGGACTGGTTTCGAGAAATTTGCTTATCAAATGACATTTGTAAAGATGGAGTGGCTGTCTGAGTAAGGTGACACCAAATTGTTATTTTCACTTTTTCATCATCCTTGTAAAAGAGTAGCTTACACATGTATATGTTAGTACATTAGTCACAGCATGGTTTTGTACTGGCTCTGTTAGAAGAGCAACTCAAAGGACACTTGCGACCTAAAAAAGAATGTCTACACTAATCTACCGCTAATGATGCACTATAGCTTATGAACATGCTTTAATTTATTGTAGCAGTGACGGTTTCATTGAGGTTCTTAAGTAAAGGAGTCACAATGCCTTTTACAAATATTGAAAATTCTAGTAGGTTTACGGTATAGAAAATAGTATTGTAGTGAGAAGGGAAAAGTGGCATGTATAGATGTCTTACCCGATGCACCCTCCCTTTCACCAATGTATTACTGTAATGTTGGTAAATCTTAATAAGTAAATAAAAAAAATATAAATGATGCTTTCTAAAACCACAAGTGGACCCTCACCTCAGCTGTTGTTCCCTTTTTATTTCTTCTGCAGTAAGATTGTAAAACTCATCCGGTAAATGAAACTGACTAGCACCGGAACATGGTTCAAATATTTGTGTATTTCTATCCAATATAGGCCTGATGGGCTCAGTGGAGACTAATGATTCATGTACTGCTCGCAGTCTGTCCGTGTCACTACAGTATTCTTGATCAAGAACAAAAAATTCAGCTTCAGAGTCTGAAAGAATAATATATAAATAGAAAAAATTTAGACTTCCAGAATTATTATTAGAAGTCTATCTTTTCTGGTGTACATACCGTAATTGCTTTATCAGAAGTATATCTTTACTAGAAACCTTGAAAGAACTCCTGTGTCCCAGGAGGTATGCGAGCCATGAAGTGCAAATGAGTAATATTTAAATTAGTTACAATTTTAAGATTAATTAATTTTTTTAAACAAGACGCTTCTTGGCTAATAAAGCTCTGCTCTTTGAGATGCACAAAATCTGATAAATAGTACCGGTAATTTAGATATCCGAAAATTGCCTAACTTATGAATTAAGACTGGATTTCAACCCTGAAATCATGCATGTGGATTATGACCTCATTCACTAATTTTCATTTAAATTTGATGAGTAGTAATGGAGATATTTGTGGAAAACATTTATGCATATTAGATAATGAATATTCATGGATAACAATCATGAAATAATTTGCTCTGGGGATTATCTAAGATAAATTCAAGCTGGAAAGCTTTTGCTAAGAAAGCATATTCACAAATTGTATGGCAAATAGCTCCCTCACAGATCGATCACACACACACTGAAATCTCACAAATAGTGGTCACTGTAGTTTCCATATAACATCATTATTTTTTAAAAGAATGTCTTTTTTCTTCAGCGATAATATAGGTAACGATATTGTAAAGGAAACGCACATTTTATATTTGTATTATTGATTTATTTTCATGGTTATCCCAACGGACAACTAGTTTTCACATGTGGTTATCCCACACAAAATATGGTTGCCAGGAACAACAGGATAACTGTTAATTAGTACCACAACCACAAACTAAACACTGAAACCAACAAGATGTTCTTAAGATAGCAGTGAAACAGGCAGGGTATGTTCACTTACTCTCTGTGCATTTTTTGATTATAAATAATTTTTTTCCTTCAAATTTTGCAAGTGGAAGTGAAAATATAACAATACATGAATATTTACATCACTATGTACTGTGAAATACTTTATTTTAGCTGGAATTTATTTTTGCTGCAAAAACTTTTAGGGTGTTTAGTATAGAATTTATTTTTCACAGATTTTTGGTGAGTTGAATGTAAAAATATAGGG